AAAATATCGGGTTTTGCTCGATTTTCTTGCCCTATAAAAACCTAATGTCGTCCCTTTAGCATTCATTTCACCCCTCCAAACCCTAGGAACCATTTTAGAGGAAGAGAGGAAGATAGAAATACCAATCAAGAGGGATTTATACCTTGTAGAAATCAAAACTTCAAATTCTTCAAGAATACATTCTCCTCCCATTTTCTTCCATTCTTGCTACCCTCTCACCCAAATCTTTTGAAACCCTAGGAGGAGAAGATTAAGAGGAAAAGAAAGGAGAGCAAGAAGGTCTTGAAGCTTGGGTCTTAGCTTGGAATCTTGATTTAAGGTAGGGGATTTTCTCTCAATCTCTCACATTGAGGCTATATATATATATATAGATATATATATGTATATAGATATATGTTTCTTCACTCTCCTTCTCATATATATAATATGAAATACATGATTCTTGTTCTATTTGTAATAAATGCCATGTTTTGAACAATATGAAGGGTGGGTAACCACCAAAGCTCTATTTTTTTTTTTTTTTTATCTTCAAAGCCCTAGTTTTCAAGAAAAGGGGATTTTCTCCTAATTTCTTCTTTGTCTTTGATTTTAAAACTTTAGTGTTGAATATTGTATAACAAAATGATATAGATTACGATCTCTTGCATATTTTCTTGGATTATTCGATTATATGACAAATGTGAAAACAAAATTGGGGATTTTACTATATTTGGGAAATTGTTGTGAATTGTGAATATTCTTGATTTCCTCATTGTATGGTTGTTGTGATGGACTTGGATTACCTTCGAGAGATGCCGTAGAGTGTTAGAGGTTAGTCTATCCCAATGGGGGGTGAGATGGTTGCCTAATGCTCGTAGTGGATCGTTGTTGTGCTCGCGATCACTATTGTTCACATATACACCGAGGAAAAGGGTTAGTATACTAGACACCTTGGGAGGATTTCGTCAATGCCGTAGGAGACGGTACACGCCCTTCCTAAAGAGATTTGTGATTGTTGGTTGGAATTGGTGGACTAGGCATGATCGTTAGGTAGATTCACGAGAAGCAATCAACATACATGGTACGGGGATGAACCAAAAATACATGGAATCGGGAGTTGGGTCGTTCTTGCCGATGCATTGGTATGGGACAATGCTTAGGGAGAAGCCCTTCTTAAATAGCTTAAATTAGAATTTTGTTTATCGATGCTAAACTCACTTTATTCTTTTAACTGATTATTGCTATTGTTTAAACTTGAGATCTCTTTTAAAATGTCACTGTTTTCATTCCAAACCTATATATATGTTAGTTGTGAAATGAGACCGACCGTTTGCTATGTTTTTCAAACCTTGTTTGAGTTGAGAGGATTTTGCTACAGAGCTTCGTGCTCACCCCCTACAAATAAAAATTTTTCAGATTTCACACTTGAGGAGGAGTTAGGAGCCGAGGAGCCCACCCATTGGAAGACTCCGCTTGACGGGGATGTGGATCCCGAGGTGGACGCTTAGAGCGACACTTTTATTTTGTTCTAGACTAGATTATGCTTAGAATATCCTTTTGAACTCTAGTTCATTTCTGTTATTTCCGCTGCGTTATATTATTACATTTTGGAGATGTAAAGGCCAAGATTAGACCTATTAATTTGGGATGATAGTGTGGATATGACATATGATGAATGCAAGTTTATTTTATGATGGAAAAATGGACCCGGTGTGATCAATAGTTATGCATATGTGGACCCGGTGTGGTCAATTGTAATATAATTGTACAGGTTGTGTTTTGGGTAGAACTCCCCGTACAAAGGAGACTCTGCCCAAATTTTGTTAAAATATGAATGGTTGATGAATGAAACTTTCGTCGTGATGAATTTTACTTAATGCTCTCATACGGTAAATGGTTTTTAGAATGTAATGTCAACCACGGGGGTTTTTGGGGCGTTACATATTTATTACAGTAGATCTCTATCAACTCATTTATACTCCTTCCTTGGGAGTGAGCTGGTGAACCCACATGATAAATAATGTCCCGTCAAATCTTATTAAGGATCTGAAGTTAATAGTTGAGTTTTTATTATGTCGAGTTTATAGTATATATACATCGTGATTAATGAGTCGATGTTGATATATTTATTTAATAAATTTATAAATTTCACAAAATTATAATTATTAGTTCTAGTTTTTTCTTTATAAGTTATAACTTAACTTTTAAAAGTAGTAATTTAATCATTCAAAATTATAATTTTTATAATTGATCCTTATATTGTAGAATCAATCATAACTTAGTAATTAAAACTAATAATTTGGGGTACGGTGCCATAATTGGTACAGCATTTTTTCTCCCATTTTTAGGTGAAAGACTATATACTGTCGATGGTATCGTATCAAAAATTATAATTTTTTAAGATTAAGTTATAATTTTTTAAGATTAAGTTATAATTTTTTTTAATTATAAATTATAATTTTAAAGAGTATGATTAATCTTAAAAAATTATTATTACTGGTAGACTTTGTAATCGATTATAAATATTTGTAATCGATCGTGACCGTCGTTTGCACAGTTCACGATACAATACCAAAAAATTTTAACTGTTCCGTAGGCTTTCCCTAATTTCAGTATTAAATAGAAACTTATTGATGGGACCCATCTAAGTGATCGAACACTGATACTTCTAGTACATTGACAGACACGTGGAATGGTGGTGTATCCATGGTCACAGTATGGTCTCTCAAAGCAGGATAGCGTTTTTCAATCTGTCGGCAAGTAACCCTGAACCGTCCACGTGTACGTCGTCGGTGAGACGTGGAATACAGTAAAAAACTACGACTTTTACGGAGATAGAATTAAAGTCACAGCACTTGCCCCCATCAAAGTAAAGTCGTGAATGGCTTCCGTGAATGGCTCTTTCAATTAATTGTGACGGTTGAGTTCTATCCAAAACTACTTTATTACATGTGTCAGTATCACATGGGTGTTTATCAGACGTCGGTCACATTGATCTACTTTGGGTGAGTATCTAGTCATACTTTAAAACAGTAGATATCAGAAATAAATTAAACATTAATCATGTAATATAAATAAGTATATAAAATACTATAAATGCACAGCGTGTGTTATATCTAAATAAATTTAAAAAATATTTTTTTTCAAAAAAAAAAAATTAATTAATAAATTAGATGTCAAAAAATTAATTCATAATTTAATTATTATTAAATTTAAATATTAATTTATACTATAAGTCTTTAAATATCTAATCCATTATTTATTTAGGTAACTCTTAGATCCCTTTATGCATTTGCACACATAATTATGATATAGAATTATTAATTTTTATTTTGTTAAATAGATTGAATATATCGTTTATAATTTAGATCATTTAAATATTTACATATTATTATATACTCAAAAATAATATATAATATATATTTGACCATAAAATTTAATCTGATAACTACATGTGTATAATAATTTAATATATATATGACTTTACATTTTCATATAGATATAAAAAATAGTATGGAATTGTATTATTAATAAATGAGTTCAAAAAAAATTTAGAAATAGAAATGTTATTGAGACTTAAAATATGTACTTAATAATCACAACTGCTAAAGTGATAGTAAGTCCCAATAAATATTGAGACTCATAGTAAAATCAATTGTTGTAATTATCAAGTACACATTTTAAATCCATATAACATTGTTCATTTTAAAATCTTTATAAAAGAGTTCAAAATAAGTTAAAAGTCAAATAAGAGTAAAAAATAAATAAATAAATGAAAGCATATAAGTGAGTCTAATTGACTTTATTATAATAATCAGGGATAAATCAAAAAATTAACACAAAATTACAGATGTTGACATTTATGAATAATATAGATATAGATAAGGCGTGGGTGAAATTTTTTTCATTATTTTTTTGGCTAATCAGTCATGTATTCAGGGCAACTTACTCGCACTTCAATTAAACACCCTCTCAGTCCGGTCAATTAGGGTATTTACAAGAGATAAATGTCTCATAACTTGGTCATAAAGGTTTACTGCGATTTGAACTCAGAATGTCTAATTTTAGAATTTGTCTCTAATACCACTTAGAGTAATTTAATTTGAATACTACAAACAAATTTGGGGGAATTTGACCTTGAGTAATTCAATAATTTGATTTGAAAGCTATGAACAAATTACACTTCCAAACTTGCACTTACCGGGATTTAATAGCTTGAAGACATTTTGATATTTAAATCAGTAAATAGTATGATATTAAGCAATACAAACAGNTAAAAGCTATGAACAAATTACACTTCCAAACTTGCACTTACCGGGATTTAATAGCTCGAAGACATTTTGATATTTAAATCAGTAAATAGTATGATATTAAGCAATACAAACAGCAGGGAAATAAAATGTGTACATTTGACTTGAGTTTATCCGATATTTATAATATTACGTACCCATTTTTTAGGGTTCACAATCATAGGTGGAATATTGTGCCGCAGTTATTTTTATTTAAATTTTTACAATTGGTATTTGTATTTTTCTAAGTTTTCTTTTTTATTGATTGATTTTTTAGATCTTATATTTATAATGTTCACATATCAAATAAACAATTTTCGTAAATGGTTGCTCACAATTTCCTCTCGTTATTTGCGATATTTTAACTATTTTTTACTTGAGTGAGCTTAATCTTTATATCTTGTCCAATGGAATTAAAGTTTGATTTGAATAATGATTCCCTCTTGTGTTTGCTTGTTCTTCTACCACTATTCTATTACAATGCAAACCAAGATTAAATAAATTAGTTGGATTACTTCTAAACTATCCCCCAAGATTTAACTAAAAAAATTAAGTTCAAATTAAATCAAATTTGATTAAATCAATCCACTGTGTGCCACATAAACCGTGGGACCTCCGTGGACGCGACGGAGTACACGTAAGGAGGGCATTCAGGTAATCAAAAATCTTTAGGATAATGTTTTCTATTACCTGATATTTTCTTCGTCTCTCTTTCTCCCTCTCTCCTCTTCTTGTGCCTTTAAATACGTGACCCTTGACCTTCATTTCTCTTCACATCATATCAAAACTCACGATCCATTCCATTGGAAACCAGAAAAGTAAGGAAGAGAGAGAGAGAGAGAGAGAGAAAATGGCAGGAATTATCAAAAAAATAGAGACATCCCTAGGCATGGGAGGCTCCAAGGAAGGTGACAAGCAGTCTGGTGAGCACAAGCCAGAGCAAGGCTATGGTCAGCACAAGCCAGAGCAAGGCTATGGTGAGCAGCACAAGCCAGAGCAAGGCTATGGTGAGCACAAGCAAGGCTATGGTGAGCAGAAGGAAGGTGGTGGGTTCATGGACAAGGTGAAGGGCAAGATCCCTGGAATGGGTAGTCAAGAGGAGAAAGGCGAGGAGAAGAAGAAGGAGAAGAAGAAGAAGAAGAAGGACGAGCACGGCAACGAGAAGCATGGTGATAGCAGCAGCAGCGACAGTGATTAGATCCAGCTTTACGCATCTCCATCGATCACTTTGGTAAGTTTTATATGTTAATGCAGGGATGGATCTATAATTTAGGTTTTAAGCTTTTATTCATTTTGAAAATTGTTTAAATGTTATGTATACTAAAAGTTATGATCTAATCGTGTCAAATGCAATATTAATCGGTTAACTTTCGACATCAAATAACTTTTTTTTCTGTGGCTCGTCTTGTAGGTTGATGGATTATTGGGGAAGTGCTGATCTGCTTGTAGGTGTGAAGAATAATGAAAAAAAGAAAAAAAAAAAAAAAAAAAAACCAGAAATATCTTATATGGTTTCTACTTTGTCCTAGTTGCTTGACTGTTTGAAGTGTTTCTTATTTAGGCTGGGAAGGAAATGTAATGATTCTACTCTGTATGTTGATAAACATGCTAATAATATATTTTCCTTGGGCTTGTTTGTAAAACCATTGTAGTTTGTGAAGGTGCAGTGCGAGAAATAAATAGTTAACCAAGAAACCCATGGGATACAACAAACATCACGGCTTGTGACTTCAAATGTATTCCGTTGAAGATCATCCATCCATCCATCTTGAACCAAGTCGATTTAAATTGATTGGTCATGGGCGGACTTCTATCCATACAAAGTCATTGATTGATTGATTTATTACTGAAACAAACTGCAAAAATGTATATCGGTGGGAATTTGAGTCCCCAATAGTGAAGGACAAGTTTTTTAACAATAGAGAAGTACAGCGAGGGCAAGGGCAAGTAGTTACAATGTCACTGCCAATTTTCAAATAGTCGTAGCTGTAATTAATTATGAATGATCACTGACTAGTATTGCAGGGGAAGAAGTAAAATATTGTTACATTTATAGATCCTCTTCACTGACTAGTATTGCAGGGGTTGGGGGAGTAAAACTCATTAGTGGATTGGTCCTCTTCACAGTAGGGTCTGAATCAGTGTATGGATACGGTCATAACATCACACATGTCAGTCGTATCTTTTACTGCTGGTTTGGTTTGAATTATGTTGATCGAATTGTACACTTCAACTGCATCCACGAGATAGATCAAGACATAGATGGTGAAATTGCAAGGAGACGGCAGAGAAATAATTGGAGAGTTTGCCGCATAATTAATGCCAAAATTATATACGGAGATAGAATTATATTAGAGGAGTTTTAATATATTATGAATAAGTATTCATGATGCAAAAATTAACTTTATGTTCCATCAGTCAAAAAGTATATAGTAAATAAATAATGAGAGTGTCAACGCAAGTAAAATATAATTTAAGTGGTTCGATTAAGGTGACCTAATCTATAGTGAAGGGTTAAGATGATGTAGATATTTTATTGTTTTAATGAGTGTTGGATGATAGACGATATACAAGATGTGAGAGATGTCCTCATGTATAGGTGGAACATACAATATATAGACGCCTCCTACCAGATTGAGACGTTTTATTAATAACAGAAATACTGATTTGGTGGAGTTGGCATCATTCTCACAACAGATGAGACAGTTGCAGAGAGGGTGTGGAGATCTCCTTAAGACTTAGTCCTGGATGGATGATGTGGATGAGACTCTCCAATGGGAATCCTTGATTTTAGAATGACGTGACTCTCGGGGCTTTGGTGATCCTAACTAAATTTGGGTCTTTTTTGGGCCGAATCCATTGGGACTTGTTTTGGGTCGGGCCCATTATCTAATTTGGGTTGGGACCATTATATGAGTTGGGCCTTAGGCTAGGCCATTAGGAATGTTAGGCTTGTGATAAAAAATATAAAGATTAAGTTGTATCTGAATATATTTGAGTTACAGTATTTTATTTTTAGAAATATAGTTAAATATTAAGTACATAGGTACGTTATACCAACATAAGTATGTTGTATCAAACGTGTATTATTTGTATTTCTATCTTCCAACACGTATTATTTGTGTTAATTATCTATTGTACAAAATTAATAAGTGATATTAAAGTTATGTTCTATCAAATGATATCAAAGCTGTGTTCCAACATTATCTTCTCTCTTTTATGTAGGCAATTTTTATTTTAATTAACACTTATCTAATGAATTTCATGTTCTCAAACCCACACACTTACCAAACATGCCCTACTAAAGTTTGTCCATGAAAACTACCTAGTCGGCTGTTTGAAATAGGAAAGGAGGAATACTCTTTAGGCCTAAAAATTTGATTTAATATATCGATTTAATGACATAATTTTTTTTAATTATGGGATTAACACCAAATTTTAATATTTGATGAGATCCATATTCAATCAAATGGTTAAAGTGAATTAGATCAACAAATTAAATCAATAAATTAAGTAAAACAAAATCCGACTAAAATTGAAAGTAAAGTACAAAATTTGAAAAAAGTAAATAAACAAACAACAAGCTCATTCCAACAACCATAAAGCAAGCTTTAGGCGAGCCTTCGGGGGCCCTAAAAAATACCCATATTTTTGTGAGCGGAGCATATACCTACACAACCTTAATTACCACATGCACGTGCACACTGAGTAGGCTTGGGCTTGGGCCTTGGGTCAAAAAAAAAAAAAATTTAGGCGAGTCTTCGGCAGTATTTTACATAGATTTTGAAAACAAAATTATAGCCTTCATCATAAAAAGTCATTACCATCAGCATTCTTGTTACCCCGCCATCAGACCATCACTAGCTTTGTTTCGGTTCATTCTCAAGACAAATAAATGGTAAAGGAAGGGAAGGAGGACTAAAAACTTTGAATAAGAAGAAGTTGGATAAGGAGAGAGTACAACATAAACTTGGTTCCAGTGCATCCCAACAGTAGACAGAAGGCACAATGGCAAGGAAAAAAATTGTGAGGGTGTTGCGGTAATCAGAGACGGTTGATTGCAGGCAGAAAAGGCAACAAAAAAATTTGGACATTTTTTTAATTTGTACGTGTCATCCTTGCACAGGTCTACGCTAATTTTCTCNAATTTGGACCATTTTTTAATTTGTAAGTGTCATCCTTGCGCAGGTCTATGCTAATCTTCTCTGTATCGTTCCAATTTTATCAAATATCCCCAAAAAAACAAAAGTACAACCATTCGGAGTACCATATAATTCGGAACTTCAAAGAACGACAATCAGCTACTGGGATGACACTAAACAAACTCGCACAAGACCCACTAACTCCCATACTTTTATAGCACTCTGGGAGTACAAACGTGTCTATAAACATGTGGATAGTAAAAGAATTTATAAGCAAGAAAGGTATGTGAATGAATTTTATAATGTGCCAACCAAGGAATAATTATAACCTAAAAAAGCAAAACAATGTTCCGATAAACAAAAATGCAAAAAAATGGCCAGTTTCGTTGTTGCATTCCTGATAACAGTGGTGCTACTAATCGTAGATTCACTACATTAATCATATTGCTATACAATTACAAATGATATTTACTTATTCAACAACGACAACTCACTTGGATAAAAAAAAAAAAAAAAAAGACAATTATAATAATCAAAATAAAGATACAAAAGGGGAGTAAGATAGGACGATAACTAATTTCTTGACCCTTGCGCCTAGATTTGCACCTTCTAGTTTACTTTGTTTTATACTCCATGTAGTTTATATAGTATATATATTTGGCGGTTTTTAGTAATGGAAGTATCGTGTACAGAGCTATCCTTTGTTAGTTTAGGAGAGTGACTTCTAGTTAATTGCAAAAACAATGAAATATAAACCTAAGAATTATAAAAGAAAGGACTTCCAATGTGTGCATTATAAAATGGAAGTGATGCACAATTGGCAGTAGCATGAATTCGACTCTCAAATTCACCCGATTTTCTAGGTTTTGTTGCTCAGAAAGTACCAAAACAATAGGAAGAATAAAAAAAAATCTCAAACTAAGAAATATTATTCACAGAAAAAAATTTCTTAAAGGTTGTTTTGGGATACTAGGTAGTTGATTATCTATATTAGAAAAATATTAGAAAAACCTTAACTAAAACTTGAAACTAAAATAAACTAGAAATCTCAAANTTGATTATCTATATTAGAAAAATATTAGAAAAACCTTAACTAAAACTTGAAACTAAAATAAACTAGAAATCTCAAACAAAGAGATCGTTTTACCCACACAAAAAAAGTGACCATAATGCTAGTTTTGAGTAAGACTCACAGAAATTTCTTTGTTTGAACAGGCTTCAAACGAGTATTCAATGAAGTTTTGAAATCAATCTCTTTTATATTGTTGCACCAACTACTTGAATTGATTTCACACTGCCTCAAATGCAAACGCTCGTGATCTTTTGGATAAAAATTGTCGAGAGTAAAATAGAACAAAACACACAATTCGTGGAATAAAATGAAATAAAGGCGTGGGACTCTGCCAAAATTTCCTTCTTACAAGATTAACCGGAGAGAGCTTTTCAAAAGATCCTAAAAACAAATCCATCACCCTCATCATGCTTCAAAACCCAGTATCTTATAGTATGATTCAGTTCATTCTAAATACTACTAAATTGCTAAATCAAGGGAAGGGAGATTGAAAACTTGAAGAAAAGGGTGGAAGGAGAGAGAGAATCACAAGCAGTGCATCCCAAAAAGAAAGAAGAGGCGCTAAGGGAGAAATTTTGAGGGTATTGTAGTAATCAAACATGTCTTGATTGAGGGTAAAAAGAGAAAAAAAAATTTGGACCATTTCTCGATTTGTGCGTGTCATCCTTGCGCAGGGGCCATGCTAATCTTCTCTGTATCGTTCCAATTTTATCGGATGTCCCCGAAGGGACAAATTGTTGTTAAACCTTGTGTTATATTAAGCCTTAAGAATTCTTGCTTTTAGTCGATGTGGGATGACACCAAATCCGCGTCGCGACAAACTAGCAAAAGACCCACCAACTTCCACACTTTTGTAACTGTTTTAGAAATGCAAATCTGTCTATAAGCATGTGGAGAATAAATGAATTGTCTAGCAAAGAGGTAGGTGAACATAATAATATGCATACCAAGACCATAATAAAACCGATAAATGTAAATAAAGCGTAGCTTTTGTGATACATTTCTAATGAAAAAAGTTTTTTTTTTCTTTTATTACTACCACTCCGGATGAGTTTGAGGCCTCCAATGCCTTTTTTGAAGCCCAAATTTAGTAGAATAAATTTACATCCAATTAAGTTGAGGTCACATATCGTCTTTTAAACTCCAATCTAATTTTTTTTCCTATAAAAATTGCATTATAAAACATATTTACCTAACTACCTAAGAAATGGGAATGGTGATGAAATGCCATAAGTTTTCCTTGCAAACAA